AGAAGAGGAGATCGGATTTATACCTATACCCCACCTACCCAAAGGAGTCTCAGAGCGGCTTACAAACTCCTTTCCCTTCCCTTCCCCACAACAGACACCCTGTGAGGTGGGTGGGGCTGAGAGAGCTCTGACAGAAACTGCTCTTTTTCAAGGACAGCTCTTATCAGAACTATGGCTTGCCCCAAGGTCATCCAGCCAGGTACAAGTGGAGGAGTGGGGAATTAAACCCGGTTCTCCCAGATTAGAGTCCGCACACTTAACCACTACACCAAACTGGCTCTCAACTTGGAGTTTGCCTTTTTCACTGCTCCAGCACACTGGGTTGGCACTTGGACGGGAGACCACCAAGGAAGTCCAAGCTTGCTACGCAGAGGCAGGCAATGGCAAACCACCTCTGTGCATCTCTTGCTTAGAAAACCCTCCGGGGTTGCCAGAAGTTGACTGTGAGCTGACAACCCTTTCTGCCACCAGTGCTCATATTTATTACAAGTCGAGCACTCGTAATACTCCTATTTACTGTGAGTCGAGCATTCTTGCCTGGAAGTCGTTCACCACTTGCAATTCATAACGAGACAGACCAGGCAGCTGAGATTGGTACTCTCGTGTTCACCACTTGCAATTCATAAGGAGACCGTCAGACCAGGCAGCTGAGATTGGTACTCTCGGTTGGCACATGCTCAGAGCTTGATTACTTTAATCCCTTGTTTGTCTAGGCAGCAGGAAGCAACGTCGTTCCTTCCTGATACCCGGAGTTGACTTGAGGCTTTTGAAATGGCACAGTAGTTTGAAGAACAATGCCCTGGCTCTGCCAGCCGTCCAGGAATCTATTTATCCTTGCGGAAGCATTGCACAGTTGCTTAGGCGATGCGCCTGCCTGTCCCTGCAGGACATTTCCTAAATAAACGGTGTTATGGGGATGTATGTGTGCCAAAACGTTCTGAGCTGTTTTAAAACTCCCAAGGAAACTTGTAATTAGCGGCTCTCTAAGAGAAGAGTTTGGTGCACATATGAAAGAACATGCACAGCGATGGATTCAGAGTTAGACTGGTGGTTAGAATGTATCTCTAAAAAAGACACTCGGCACACAGACCTCTGTGCAAGCGGGATACAGGATATCAGCTTTGTTGCCTTAATTTAGTAATTTGAGTAGATTGTAAAGCCTGCAGCTTTTTCTTGTGGTCTGTCTTCTTTTGCTCCTGTCATGGTATTTGACGCCTCTAAAGACATGGGGCTAATAATCTGAAGGCACAAATATAGATATAAAATCTCACAAAAGCAAACTCTTTATTTTTGCAGATGACATGGAGGAAGTGGACGAAATGGAAAAGGTGATGCTGGAATTTGCAGCCATGAGCAGAGAAGTCAACCATTATATGCAAGCAGTGGAAGATACTGTAAATCAGGTAAACGATCACAGCTATGTGAAATAAGAAAGGGTTTATATGTTTTAAACTTTCATTCTGGGAGACCCTGATGAAGTTTCCGCACTGATCCCTGTGAAGTTTAGGGGGAAACACAAAGATGTGGGAGCGTGGTAGGAGGCTAGCATACTGCAAACTGCAAAGAGGAAGTAGATTATTCCTCTTAATTGTTTCAGAATACTACAACTCAACATCATTGACTGGTAGGCTCAAGACAGACGAAAGGGAAATACTACTTCATGTTGTACATTAATTAGGAAGGCTGGTTCGGAGGTGTGGCTGTTCAAATTAAAGGGTGGCCATTCAGTGGGACAAAAAAAGGGGGGGGACTTAACCCTGCAACCTGGGAACCGGAACCTAAGAAGGTAAGTTGAACAGAATAGAGGGCCAACAATAAAAATTTAATATATATAATATAAAAAGATATATGTATTTAGAAGAAGAAGAAGAAGACGAGATTGGATTTGTACCCCGCCCTTCACTTGGAGTCCCAGAGCGGCTTACAAACTCCTTTCTCTTCCCCTCCCCACAACAGACACCCCGTGAGGTGGGTGGGGCTGAGAGAACTCTGACACAAACTGCTCTTTTTCAGGGACAGCTGTGCCAGAGCTTGTGACTGACCCAAGGTCACATCAGCAGGAGCAAGTGGAGGAGTGGGGAATCAAACCCAGTTCTCCCAGATTAGAGTCCGCGCACTTAACCACTACACCAAAACATGGCAAAGAATTAAAAAAAACATATAAGGGCCCAATCACACCTCATGTAAAAATACCAAAATCTTACTCATGGACTTGACCTGACGTATTTCGGCCTGTTTAGGCCTTCTTCAGAGGTCAAAACCATGAGGAACAAATTGGCTTATATCATAATACAATACGATCATACAGTTATGCAACATGGATACAAGATGGACCAGAAAAGAACTGTTCCAAAGTGAAACCACTAGGCACAGAATAAAAGTATAAATGAGACCTCCAAAGATGCAATCACATGTCCAAATGATATTTCACTGATGATAATTTCTGGTCCAGAGAGTGCCTTCTAATGATTGTTTAGCCAAAGTGTCCTCAGTAAAATTGTCCCTTTAGCAAAGAGCAGTGCTGATAGACTAAACTGCTGGAGCTTTATACCAGGTGAAAGTAAATAATTCCTCTTAATTGTTTCAGAATACTACAACTCAGTGTCATTCACTGGTTGGTTCAAGACAGACAAAAGGGAAATACTACTTCGTGTTGTACATTAATAAGGAAGGCTGGTTCGGAGGTGTGGCTGTTCAAATTAAAGGGCGGCCATTCTGCGGGAACCAGTGCAGTCCTGCATTCAGAGTGCTGGATTAGGATTTAGGAGGCCCAGGTTTGAATCCCCACTCGTCATGAAATTCACTGGGGGGTGGCCTTGGTTGAATCACTTTTTCTCAGAGTAACCTACCTCACCAGATGGTTGTTGTGAGGATAAAATAGAAGAGTGCGGAGAACCACGAATGCCGCCTCAAACTCCTTGGAAGAACGGCAGGGTAAAATGGTACTTGAATAAATATTCCAAGGAAGCGTGCAAATAAAGGGTATCCACTGCACGGGATGACAAAATTACTCCAATTCCAAATCTGTAGATTAAACCATACTGGATACACTGGGATGTATCTCAGAGTAAACATGCTTAGGATTGCGTTTCCATTTGATAGTTATTAAGAACAGAAAAATGAAAATGAACTAACTGAATAGATTATTAAAAGGTTACCTAAGAATTAGATTATAAGCAGGGCTATTTTTGGGCAGGAACGCACAGGAACGGAGTTCCGGCTGGCTCCTGAGTTGGCCATACCCAGCAGGAACTCATTAGCATAATAGGCCACACCCAACAGCAGGAACTCATTAGGATTGGCTACATTAGGGGTGTGTGTGGCCTAACATGCAAAGGAGTTCCTGCTACAAAAGAAGCCCTGGGTTTTGGCAACAAACAAGGTAAACAGAAAATAAGAAGCAAAAGGTGGGTGTGGCTGGATGACCACACTCCTGGCAACACAGGGCTGCGGCCTAATATGCTAATGAGCTGTGGTGGCAGGGTGTGGCCTAATATGCTAATAGGTTTCGACTGTTGGGTGTGGCCTGTTATGCTAATGAGTTCCTGCTGGGCTTTTTCTACAAAAAGAGCCCTGAATAAGTATAAGCTAATAGAACTTAATCGAATAAGTAACAAGTGGAGTAAGATGGAACATAAGAATTAATATTATGGAGGGGGTGGGAGCATTGCGGGAAGCCTGGGAATGGGAGGGAGGGGGAAAAAAGGAAAAGGGAATTTGACAAATGTGAAGTTAATTTTGGACATGTTGCAATACCCTGAAAATAAAATGTTTTCAAACATAAAAAGGATTGCGTTTCCAAAGCCCTTGAGTGCTTGTAATGGATCCCCGTTTTCTGTCTGTTGAGGTACTGAATATGCTGTTGCTGTTCATCCCAAAATGATGGGCACTAAGAACCCCTAATTCTAAGAATATTAATTTTCCTCTTCAGTTTGCATTAGCCTCTAATCAGTCCATGAACCATTTATAAACTTCTAAAGTTGAAGTGATGCATAGAATCATAGAGTTGGAAGGGGCCGTACAGGCCATCTAGTCCAACCCCCTGCCCAATGCAGGACCAGCCGAAAGCATCTCTGACAAATATTTCTCCTGCCTCTTCTTGAAAGCTGTCAGTGAAGGGGAGCTCACCGCCTCCCTAGGCAGCTGATTCCACCTTTGAACCACTCTGACCGTGAAAAGGTTTTTCCTAATATCCAGCCGATACCTTTCTGCATGTAATTTAAACCCGTTGCATCAGGTCCTATCCTCTGCTGCCAACTGGAACAGCTCCTTGCCCTTCTCCAAACGACATCCGTTCAGATATTTAAAGAGAGCAATCATGTCGCCCCCTCAATCTCCTCCTCTCCAAACTAAACATCTCCAAGGCCCTTAGCCTTTCCTCGTAAGGATCAGTCTCCAGACCCCTGGTCATCCTCGTTCCTCTCTTCTGCACCCTCTTGATTTTGCCCACATCCTTTTTGAATTCAGGCCTCCAGAACTGCACACAGTACTCCAGGTGTGGTATACCAAGGCTGTATACAGAGGGGTTATGATCTCCTGCAGTTTTGATGCTATGGCCCTTTTAATACAACCCAAGACTGAATTTGCCTTTTTTGCCACCGGATCACACTGCATGGTTAACAAAGGATAGCCAAGTGTGTGGACAGGGACCGGGAGCCCTCTTCTGTTTTTCTCAGCATCTCACTATACATTTTTTTCTGGGTTGTGCATCAGAACTCATGGGGCACTTCACAGGCATACACCTACAATTTCTCCTTGTTAAGATTGTGAACAGTTTCCCTGGAAGTCTGGGCTTGTTTTCCTGACAGGGAACTATGAATTGGGAAGTCCCTGTTTTAAAAACTCCCCTCTGTCATGATCTCACCAGATAACCTTAGCCAAGGCCTTCCCTCAGCCTCCCACACCACTAAAATTTAATCTGGGGATAATAAAGCTGGCCTACCATGTATGGCTATTTTAAGAAATACTGTATTTTAGGCACTTGTATACTCAGAAAAGTTAAGTATTGGCCTTTTTCTGCATTGACATCTGTGTGTTCCGACAAATTTGGCTGCTTTTGTTCGATTGTACAGAGGTGAGGAAAAGAAGATTTGAGGCCCCTTAGTGGGACTGTGTTAGGACTACGTGAACCAAAGCTAAAGAAGCAAAGGACCCACATGAAGACACAAAGCTGCCTTGTACTTAATCAGACGATTGGTCCATCAAAGTCACTGTCGTCTACTCAGACTGGCAGCAACTCTCCAGGATATCAGGCTGAGGTCTTTCACACCATCTCTTTCCTGATCCTTTCACGTGGAGAGCCAAGGATTGAACCTGGGAGATTCTGCAGGCCAAGCAAATGCTCTTCATGGAGACAGATCAAGATGGGTGGACGTGTTAATCTGTTTGTAGCAGTAGAAAAGAGAAAGAGTCCAGTAGCACCTTAAAGACTAACAAAACCTGTGGCAGGGTAATGAGCTTTCTTGAGTCACTGCTCACTTCTTCAGATACCTTTTCTACAAGCAAATGCTCTGCAGTTGACCCACAGACTCACTGAGCCACCAACCCTGACTGCCAGGTGTCTTTTGGCAGAAAATGCTGAGTACGTGAACGCGCGTAACGTTGTCATTTGAAAAGTGTGCATTTGGTGGCAGGCCCGTGGCCAGGATTTTGTGGCTTGTGGGGCAAATCTTTTTCTGGTGGGGCTGAAGTTCTCAGTGCAGAAAGAAAAGCCATTTAGCCAATAGAAACCTGTTACCAGGGTAGATCTCTAATTTGCAAGCTGTCAGCCACTTTAGTTGACAGTTCTCAGCTGCTGCAAGTTAATCACTTCTGCCAGCCTAAGCAACAATCCTGAGAACAAGCTGGCAGATGGGTGTGATGACTCCTATAGTCAAGAAAGTGAACACTTTAAAAAACTCTTTTAAAGGAGACCAGTTTCTTGACACAGAGTTAGAAGGGATCCTAGAGGTCGCCTACTCCAACCCTCTTCCTCAGTGCGGGAATTAGTTAACTACAGCACCCCACTCTGCTTAAAGGAGTGCATGCCTTTTAAAAAATGTTTTTAAATGATTGAAAAAAGCATTTACAGGATAAATGCTTGTGGGGCTGTGCCTTTAAGAAAGGGGGCGGAGCCCCCAGAAGTCCTACCGTAGGTACGGGCCTGTTTGGTGGTGGAACGGGGTGACTGGGAGAGTGGCTGTAATGTAAAGGCGAAGAGGCAACAAAGAGGTCATGCCAAGTCACTTGTCCAAACGCCGTCATGGTAGATTTAGTTTCAGAGGGTAGCCATGTTGCTCTGCAGTAGAAGACCTAGATGTGACTCCTGCAGCAGCTTAGAAAACAAGAAGATTTTGGGGATATAAACTCATGAGAATCAAAACTCCCTTCCTCAGATGGTTGAATCAGCATCCACTTAGTTGTT